CCCTCTAGGTGTACTTCATGTACGTAATAATTTATTCACAAAGTCTGTGTCTATTGCACTTTGTCACATGTTTTATTGATACATCAACTTCCCACCTCAAACCAAAACGTGTAAAAACCTTTTTTCCACCATATTTTAGGTTTATTTTTTGTTGTTTTTTTCTTGGCATTTCCACTTCTTTTAAACTCAAATTGGAAAAACGATGAGTAATGTTTTTACCAACAGTAGCTCCAACAGGACTTGCTGGATTCTTGACACACCAGCTGTCAGGTGCACTTGCATTGCTTTATGGAAAATTACCCCTGAATTCTGCCAAGGAACATGCAATTGTTTTTTTTTCCCTCCAGTATAAAGATTTTGCTTTAGGGACCTCCATCTGAAAAGATTTCGGTTGTTAGATATGATCAAGACCAGAATTCTACCGCTGTCAACTACAGTTGTGGAGATTACCGTGAAGGAAGTGAAACCTGTGATCAGCTCAGTCTTGTGACTCTTACTCACAGTGGGCTCACTTCTGTCGTGAATTAACAATGAAATAAACTATTCCCCATTTATCCGAGGACCCCTGCAGTGCAAATAAACAAACAAAACAAAACCACAGAAAGAAAACACAAATTTGTACGCAGCCCTGTGTTCAAGTATGTTTGACATACTGATGCTGATTGATTGTAACAGGAAATAACTAACAGATGCAGAAGCAAATGAGGCAGGCAAAATTAAGTAGATACTGTACACCAGCATCACAAAATCCCTCCTGGATCTCCACCAAGGGAGGGGTTTTCCTTTCATATTCCTACCATTTATTTATCCTAATAAAATATGCTGTTAATCATTACTCACTATACTTTACAGTGTAATATTTTTTATTATGCAGCTGTAATTCTTTTATCCTGCGCTGTGAGGCTGCTCAGCAAAGAGGGGAAATTTTCAAAGCCTCCTCCTTCTCCTCGTTATCCCCCCCAAAATTCCCCCTTCAGGCAAAAGAAATACCAACTCCTCCCACCTAAATGAAAACCATTTCACTCATTTCACCCCTCAGCTGATGATCTAGCATCGCTTTCATGGCAGCATCCCTTAGCAGAGTCAACAGGATGATGCTGCAGTACTGGCAGCTTTGCAATCATCTGTGGATAGGGGATGTTTATCATGAATGGAAAATGCTTGTCATCTCTCGCTGAACCACTGACGTTCAGATCTGTAACACTTCGAAACGAGGCAGGCGGCTCTTGCCTTTGACCTTTTCAAACTTGCTTGACAGACAAGATCTACAATTTTGCTGCTCTGAACAAACTAAATAAATCACACAGAGTAGAAAATGCCAGGGAGTGATCACTGATAACTCTGGAGGAGCTCTGCAACAATTGGAAGTGAAGGAGCTTTTGAACCACATGAAAGACAAAGAGAAAAAGCTAAAGAGGAGCTTAACAGCGCTGGGTTTCATTAACTAGTGGCCTCTTTGCTCTTTGTCTCTGAGCCTATTGAACTCTGTGTGCTGCTCCGGCCCTCTCAAGCCATCAGGCTGAGCTTCTTCCCAGTTAAAAAGGGGGCAGGAGCTCAGCGACGAAGGCCAGGCGTGACTAATGCAGGAGCCTGGTGCTGCTGTTGCATGCTGGTACAGGGGGACGACCCTGCCTCCCTGCCTCCCAGCCTCTGCGATGTATGGCACGGCCCACTGTGGCTGCATACAGGGCTGCACATAAACCCCAGCCGCCGCCGTCGCCGCCCCTCCTTGTCTCTCACCCCCTCATACCCACCCCGCCCCCGTCATCCATTCATGGCAGATCCTTTCAGCAGGTCATTCAGAGGGCCAATAAAGAGGCTAGCTCATTCTGTCTGTTCTGAAATGTGCAATGTCAGAAAGACGGGGGGAGGAAGGGCAGATTCCAAGAGGGCTTACAATCTCTTCACTAAAGTAGACTGAGCCAGACCTCCCATTTTGTTCTCTGCAGACAGTTTATGTCGGGAATCATCCCTTAAGCATGATAAAGAAAAGACAGCAACTTGACAGCATTTGTCATGAAAGGGGATGATATCAAATCTGAATCCTATAAAATTCCTTATTTAATTGTTTTATGAAGGCATCAGTAAGGTAACCTTTAAGATATGTATTGTCTATGTACAGTATTGTACCTTAACCACAAGGGAATCTACTGCATGGAAACATTGCAGGGATTTCACCACATATGTTGTCACTGCTCTGTGACATTTACGCACACTAACATTAAGTGGCGGACTCAGGCTGTCTGAGGGGCATAGGCAAAAAAATAAAGAGCTGTATGCAGTGGGGCACCAGCGCACAGAGTGCTTCCTAGTCCCTCCAGGATTTCACAGGATGATTTTGGGACTATTGCAACCTGAAATGCCTGATTTCATGAAGTCCTTCTAAAAAAACTGCGATTCATGTTGCAATGTTTTTATCCGTTTTTTTAAATGAATAACAAGGGTGAGTGAAAATTAAAAAATAGTTGTGATGCCTTTAACATTACAGTCTCCTCATCGCTCCACACATATCAGATTTTTTATTGATAAACCAACTTTTCCACCTCAGCCAAGCATTAAAACATATTTCTGATATTTCAACTTACCAGCATTAATTGAAAATGTGCTTAAAAACAAGTGGATGGAAACAAACTTGACATCACTGAGACAGTACATATTCACATACGTCATAAGTTCCTTTGCAGACACCTGTAGTGTCAGAGAGAGGCAATTGGGAATAACTTAAGGAGTGACTGTTAATAAAAGATTCAATCAGGGACTTGTTGGCTGAGGGGTCCAAATGACTTGAAACTGGATCTAAAAGTATACCGGCTCTCAGAACCATTGTCATGAAGGTCAAACTCTTTGATAGCTGCTCTGCATGTTTCTCTGCAGCTCACACTCTTATGTGAGTGTGTTTGTATGATTGCAGAGGTGCCTGCTGGCAGTATGATGTATGAGGGAGCCAGAGACCATATCGCTGCCTGCGAGCATGGTTAACTCTCTACAGACCAAAGAAACACAACTGCGAGCATCCACAGCGAATGAAATTCCACACACAACCACAATCTTAGCACATTAACAGCCCTCAGCGCAGGCTTTTAAATCAGACCGCATCATTACAAGAGGCAAGACTTTCTCCCTCTCACGCTCTCTCGCTCTTTCATTCTCCTATCACACATGCAGACACACTCCAGAGTCTAGTGGAACATCTCTTTTTCCACTCCGAGAGAAGCACCGGGGTGCAAATTACCCCCAAATCAGCCCCAATTTTGTGAGTGCGCCACTGGTAAATGTATCACCCAGTGAGCATCACAGAGCCCCAGACTGAGAGCTTATAAAAAAGAAAAACGATGCACCGAGCTCACAGGATGTTGTGTAATTTCACCCAGATGTGCTTCACAGCTCGTCTAAGTGTGCAACCAGTCTTTTCACATTTCAGCCTCTGCTGGAGCTGCTGAGACACTTTCTATGAGTCTTTTCTGGTAGTGAATGGTGCATTATTATTTTACTTCCAGAAAGTGGAGGAGTCCACCTGTGCTCTATTAAACCTATCTAAGGAAGCACAGGGGGGCTGCTCCTACAGCAGAGTGGAGGTCAGTGTATGACAAGGGAAGCACCTCGCCCAGATATCTAAAAATACTGTCCTACATACTAAATGTGTTCAGCTCAAGCAGGAGATGGAGCGATGGAGCACTCTGAGAGGAAAATGCCCTGTTTGTTTGTGCATGTTGGTGTTTTGAGGAGTTTTCCTCATTTGGCAACCTCTAAAAACAAGCCTCATTCTGATTCTGATTCAGTTTTCCCACAACAAACACACACAAGCCGTTGTTTTCCACTAAAGCGCTGATGTGAAATGAGCCAGAATGCAGCAGCAGCAGCAGCAGCAGCAGCCCAGCAGATTGATTGAATTCATAAACAGGACTGAGTACGACTGTGTGAAACTAAAAAAAGTGTGTGCGAATGGCCACATGCGGCCGATAGCATCTCTCCCAAACAGAGCCATACATTCCAGTAACTCTGTGGTCTGCTCACACACACACACACGGGTTTAATTTACAGTCACTGTCAGCAGCCGAACATTTCTCATACCACTATCTGATACGTGATGAAAATCCGCTGCCAGCAATAAAAGCCCTGGGAAACAAGAGCTCGCCTATGTGAACAGGAACAGCGCTGGCATGAACTTATTCCACCGTCTGTCAGAGGGCTGAGCTGTGTGTGGGTGTGTGTGTGTGTGTGTGTCATGGACTAGATTTGAGATTAGTGGACTTTAGGTGCACACTCTGTGGCTTTACAGTAGAGATATTGTTCACACTGGACTTCTCCTGTGTCTTATAATCAAGCACATCAAGATGGACAGAGTGCAGGTTTCCTCATCAGGACTTCTACAGAGAAAGCACCTGCACTATGCAGTGATTACTGATCTGAAATCTGCGAGGCAAAAAGTTCTAGAAGGATGCTCCAGATCGAACCAGAGAGGAAAATCTCACATATAAATAAGCCAGGAGAAACAATAAGAAATATTTTCAGAGGCAGTTTGAGATTTCCATATGCCCTGCACTCATTGCTTTGACTTATTACTACAACATACAGCAACAATCAGCTGAGCCTGAGGGAGAATGCATGTGCAAAGATGAAAAGAAAGGCAATTAACTCAAACATATAGTAGTTGTGAAAATGATAATTAGAATAAATCAAAAGTCTTTGATCTAGACAGAAAAAAATGAAGTTAGTAGGTCATGATGTCCTCCTCTGTACCTAAAAATAAGATAATGGAAGAGAAACAGCCTTCGGGGTGTCTGTCTCCTCTGTTTCTTGCACACACACATTTAGATGTGATAAATGCAACTACAAAGGATGCAATCAGTGCATAAAACAAAGTCGCTCTCATGCAAAAGCAACGCAAACTCCACCTGTGTCTGATAGCTGTGTGCATGTTTCGCAGACGTCTTTGACTTGTGCATTAAGAAGCGGACCTGTACTCAGGTCTGGTGAATGTTTGAGGTGCTGGTCCTTACCGTCACTGGCTGGGATCTCGGCTCGGGCATCCACAACACACCGCAAAACTAAAACAAGTCCAACGAGAAGGTCGAACGTCTTCACACCCGCCATATCCAAGTTCCGCCGCTGATTTCTTCTCAATATGTCGTTTTTAGAGGTCTCCGTCTTCCCCCGTGCACCGACACCGCTTCCCGGCGGACTCAGTAACTCTCCTGCCTCTCCTGCTGCTTTTAAAACGGAAACCTGCCTGCGCTGCACTCGCTGCACTGTGCTGCTTTTTGTTCCAGCGTGTGCCACACTGCGCGCGTCTGGAGAGTGTAAACGCGCTCGTCCTAACAGGTCTCCACCTCCAAAACAAACAAAAAATAATAACAGCAGAAGGAGAAGGAAGGAAAAAAAGTTCTCCACTTAAATGTTCATCCCAGTCCGACACACTGGTCTCATCCCACTGGCAGGAGGAGCAGTGTGTGTGTGTGTTGTGGGCTAACGCGCTCCTGGAGAAGACAGTGCGCTCCCTCCGTCATCAGCTCCTCGGAGCCAATGGCTTCTTCTTCTTCTGTTTGATGCTCATGTGTGTGCAGGAGAAGAAGCGGAGGAGACGAACACACAAAGCGTTTCTCCAGCTGCCGGGGAGACAGTGAGGATTTTGCCCTGGGATATGATCTGCGCCGTGTCTGACAAGCGGCTTTTGAGTGATGTGGAGAGATGCGTTTGGAGCTCGAGGAGCTGCTGCTGTAGGCCTCCTGTTTGCCAGCAGACAAAAGATGTTCAACATGCTGGACTCATTCCTCAGAGGGCTTTGTGTTTGTATTGAGCATGAGATCATTATCACAGGAAATACAAGAGGTTAGGTTGTAAATAGTCAGTTTAGGAGTCCAGTTCTTGTTATAATTTCAGTTAATTTATGTTATTTTACTTGTTATCTCCCTCTTTGAGTGTCCCTATATATTTTCTGCAACAGTATATTAATGTCTCCCCTCTCACCTTTACTGCACAGACAGGTAATTGGACTGTGAGGGCGCCCTCTTCAGGTGCAAGATATATATTAACCCTTTTTCTGTTGACTATTGGCTTTACTTCCCACAGACCCCACTGCTGTATATGACAAAATAATAATAATTGCAAAATCAACCCTTTTTTTCCTTTCAATATTTTAATTTCATCTTATTAAAACTAAATAAGTAGAACACTATTGAAGTTGTAACCATTTCCTTTTTCCACAAATTAGGTAAATGAGCAAAAAGCCTTGTTATTACACCAAGTAAAGAAATATCTCATGTTTTATATGTTATATTTGCAAACCCTTGCCAGAATTAATGCTGACAATGTACGTTTCTGCAAATCTGAACGTTTCCATGTTATGTAGGGGATATGTTGAAACTTAATGTTTCATGTTGTGACAGTGCTGTGGTTAAAGTGGTTAGGATTAGGCACAAAAACCACCTTTGGTTTAAAATATGCAGACAGCTGAAAATGTCTCGACATGTCTAAAAAAACAGTTTTGTAATCACGTACATGACTAGAAATGTCCTGAGATGCCGTTAGAAAAAATCCTGTTTTGTCATCACATATCACAACTGGAAATGTCCCCTTGTGTCATTAAAAAATATCCAGTTTTGTCATCACAAGCAAGACTGGAAATGTCGCAATGTGTTGTTAAAATATACTCAATTTATTGCCACAAGCAAGACTGGAAGTGTCCCGTCATGTCATTAAAAATACAGAGTTTTTGTGCCACAAACATGATTGGAAATGTCCCAATATGCTGTTACAAAATACCTGGTTTTGTCGCCACAAACAAAGCTGTAAATGTCACAGTGTGTCGATAAAAATACCCAGTTCTGTTAACACAAGCAAGACCGGAAATGTCCCAATGTATCGACTGGTTTTGTCTCCACAAACACGACTGGCAAAGTCCTGACATGTCATTAACAATACCCACGTTTGTTGCCACACAAAGGACTGGAAATGGACTGGAAACATGTCATTAAAAAAATACCCGGTTCTGTCGCCACAAACACAGCTGTAAATGTCCCAATGCATCGTTAAACAGTACCTGGTTTTGTCATCAAAACACGGCTAAAAAATGTCCTAACATGTTGTTAAAATTACCCAATTTTGTTGTCACAAACAAGAGTGGAAATGTCTCAATGTGTTTTGTTGCCGCAAACAAAGCTCTAAATGTTGCAATATGTCTTTGAAAGTACCTGGTTTTGTTGTCAAAAACACGGCTGGAAATGTCCCCACATGTTGCATTTGTTGTTTTTTGCTCTAAGAAAGCAGTCTGCTGCGTTCTGCTATTGTGTCTGCTAGGTGTCATGCCATCCACAATCACTTCCTCTTGATAAAAATATGCACGTAATCTGAACTGAAATGATACAAAACATACAAACAACAAAACATATCCATGGTTTATAGAAACGTACAATGCCAATACTTTATTTTGGTGGCTGGGCTGATATTTAATATCACTTTTGTTTGCTAAATGAAAATGCACATCATCTGTTGAAAGTCGTGTTTATAAGCAAATGAAACATTTAGTTTAATTTAGCGCAACAGTTTGTTTTTGTGAGCTGTTAAGAGGGGCTGGGGCCTCGAGGACCTAAAACTGAACAAAGGGTTAATGAATGGATGTGAATGTTGAAGAACTCCCATGTAAATTACTTCCTTTCTAATGATGTGGCAGAAACCCAAACCTGAATCTAGAGAAGACATTCGTTCCCTTCGTTGGTTGTGTGTTTCCAGTTTTCTCAGCAGTAGCCAGAGAATAAGGAGGGAGGACTGGGAAACCTCTCATGTGAGGGAACATTTCTTTTTTTCCCCCTCGTTTCTTACTTTGCACTCATTTCGCACAGGAAGGATAACTTGGACCACATGCTTGTTCCAATTAAGACACTGGCTGTGGGAATTCAGGAGCTGCACCACAAGTTATGGAAAACCTTAATACGGAGAGGAAACTCTTGCATAAAGGACCACTTTTATAATTCACTTGGCTGCATGTTGAACATTTAAAGTAGTTCTTTATGCTAAATGGATTTTTCTGACTTTTTCAGTGGTCAAAAAAGTAATAAAAGTTATCAACATCCAAACCTGAGAGCACAAATATTCTGTGAATGTCTGACAGCACACCAGTCTGGCTCCCAAATGAAAACAGATCAATATATAGCAATCACCTCACTAGCTTTGTCCGTAATTAGTCATTCCCTTGATTATCTTCCGAGGCCACTAAAATTCATCTGTCCCATTATCTTTACAGAGCGGCGACTGCCAACAAAGTGGGTGCAGTGGTGATTTGTTTCTGCACAAAATGAATACAGCTGCAGCTTAATGCCAGACCCAGAGAAGTGTTGTTGATGGTGCAAGATGACCAGAGAAAAAGTTTCACTTTCTCTTTTTCTTTTTTAACATATGTGGTAAACAAAGTCAGCTCTTTACTGAAAACTGTGTGCTTGATTTTTTTTTTCTGAAAAGGACATAGAGAAAGAGATGCCATAGCATTCTAACATTAACATCTACCTCTCCATCTGAGTACTTGCACTTACTCTAAACCAGCGGTGGTGATTCGTAGTCCAAAACTGGGTCAGGGGTCCATTCTGAATGGACCTCAAGTGACTCACAAATTTTATTTTTAAGTACTGTGAATTTCAGGCACACAGCTTTTATTTTGAAGTGCCGTTTCCTGCCATAGAGCGAGTGACTAAGGGACAGCTATTTGATGGAGAAAGCAAACTAGCTGGATGACATGGCCAAACACAAGTATGATGCTGGATAAATTAAACTGTGTGGACCTTGAACTAATGACTAAGGAGAACTTTGGACCCCGTTGCTGGACCAGTTGGGAACCACTGCTCTAAACAAAGTAGGGCACAAAATAAATATCCATTAATCTGACAGGTTTTTTTTAGGTTTTCTACAGGTTTTCTACAGTATCAAAATAATCCAGTTATAGTTGTCTGTATATCCATGGGTACAATGCAAACAGGAATTGCTAATAGTTTATTCGGCATACTTCTAATGGTGCCAAAGTGTTGAAAAATACAGGCAAAAAAGAAAATGATGGGCTTAAGTTGCCGAAACTGACTTTCTGGTGACATTATCCTTTCTGTTTATATTCTGCCTCACAGCAAGAGGGTTCCTGGTTCGAACCCTGGGGTGTGGGAACCCTTCTGTGCAGAGTTTGCATGTTCTCCCCATGTCAGCGTGGGTTTTCTCCAGGTACTCCGGCTTCCTCCCACAGTCCAAAGACATGCAGGTGAAATGGTGACTCTAAATTGCGCGTAGGTGTGAATGTGAATACAAGGACTTGTCTGTTTGCCCTGCGAAAGTCTATCAACCTGTCCAGGGTGTACTCTGCCTCTAGCCTGGGATAGGCCCCAGTCCCCCCGTGAACCCCAACAGGATAAGCGGTTACAGAAAATGAATGAACAAAAATCCATACAAGTATGTAGTTTTTTGCCACTACTAAGATTCCAAAAAAAATCGACACTTGTCTGTAAATATCAGGAACAATACCACTCTCCTCTATCCATCCATACACAGATATTTGTCTTGTGTTGAAAGCCTGTAGACAGACTGACACAAAAATCAACAACTTTAAATTGCATGCTGCTGCTACAATCTCAAAAGTTGTAGGGATCTAAAAGATGTGTCTCGGGAACAACATATTTGTCGGCTATTGTCAATATAAAGATTCTGAAGGCCCTTGATGCCAATATTTGTCCAAGCACTTAGGTCTAGAGGATGAGGCGTTGAGGGATGTGTGAAACTCCTCACCCAGATTTCAGAGGCAGAGGAAGCCAGTGAGTGACGTTCTTTTTCTTTCACTTCCTTCTAAAATAGCTCTGGGAGACGTGGCTAAGATCATAAGACTCAAATAAATATCTGCTGACAGCGCCTGTCCATGATAGTGTCACATCCACTTTCTCACATAAATCTTGAATCACCCTCACCGTGATTCGATCAGCACACACCTCTTGTGCACCCAAAGGGACGTATATCAAACGTCTGTACAGCAAATACACAGAGTCCCACCCAGAAAGACATAAAGCATACTGTCTGATGTATTTGCCTCATAAAAGGAAACTGTTGTTGACAAATGCAGCGCAGTCATTTAAATCATAAAGCATCTTTCAGTCAGATCATGCAGTCCAGTATCAGGATGAAATAGGATTTAGTCCTGAGGCTGGGAAAGGCTCCTCCATCCACACACATGCACTTCTGCTCCCCTCTTTTTTTTCTCTCCCTCTCTGCAACTCTTTCCAAGCACTTTAATCATCACAGTAGTTGAGACTCAGCAGCCACAGCTCCCCATGCAGTCTCCTGCTCTAATCACCTTGTTCCACAACTCCAGCAAAAAGAAGCCAAGCTAGTCCTCAGACGACCACTCTCTGAAAATCTCTCTCTCTATCCATTTTTTTCTCAAAGCATCCTCTCTTAACTCTCTTTAAGCCTTTCTTTTGCTAACCTTCTCCCACTCCTTCCCTCTGTGACGTAATGATCACTCACAGATGCCGTGAACTTTTGCTTGGCTGGAGACCACGCCACACTCCTCTCCCCAGGGTGACCGAAAAGAGCATCAAAACGTCTGCG